CGTCGCCGTCGTCATCGTCGTCGTCGTCATCGCCGTCGCCGTCGCCGTCGTCGCTGTTGTCATCGTCATCGTCATCGTCGTCGTCGCCGTCGCCGTCGTCGCCGTCGTCGTCGCCGTCGTCGTTGTCGTTGCTGGTGCCATTGCTGTCGTCGATACTGTCATCATCCTCACCGTTTTGTTCTGTATTACCGCTGTCATCGACGTCGTTTTCGTTACAGCCATTGACATCATCGTCATTGTCATTGTGGTTATCAACGTCTTTGTGCTTGTTATTGTTGCCATTGGCATAATCAGCCTGCATCACTTGCTCCTTTATCAGTGCATTCGTGCTAAGAAGTAATATTTTCTCTATACCAATTACTCGCAGTATTCTTGGGGCAGGATGGCGAGTAACAAGACAACAGGTAGTGTCTTGCAATTTAGACCCATTGAAGTATCTCAACAATTACAAGATGGAGAGAAATTCATTAAATGGGATGAGGTATGAGTTACAAATTATAATTGAATATTTTAGATTGTGTGATCAAATTGTAAGAGGCAAGCTATGTTATTATATGCATGATGTGATTAGTTTTATTTATATTTATATATAGGATTCTGGTATAGCAACTCCAGTAACTTTGAAGGTAGACAAGTTTGGATTTTATCTGCATTGGGTGGACCAACATAATGAGATGGATATGTTGGATATTGCAGTAATAAGAGATACTAGAACTGGAAAACATGCAAAAGTACCAAAGGTATTAAATTGTCCTTTTTGTTTTTGTTTCTTCCATAATTAAAGTATTTTAGTTTTTTATTCTTTAATTTAAACAACTTTGCTTATGATTGATTCCATCTAAGTCTAAAGTAAAATTAGTTAAATGTTTCACTAGTTCAACATATCAGTATGCATTAGGTATAAATATTTGGAAATGAAGCTGTTTTGCCTTTCTATAATTATATCATGTTTTTGCGTGGTTGCTAATGACGCACAGCACCACCACATGATAATTATTGACAAATCTATAAATAGAGTATTACCTACTTTATGTCTTCAATGTAGTTCATTTTTTTTCAGTCACACCTATCTTTGTACACAATAGGAATATTCTTAGTTCTATAGGAAGCAGAGTAGTTCTTATCTGTTCCATTTTCCTATAAATCAATAAACATTTTGTAAAATGACAGTGTTCATAGTTTCAGTTTATACCAGTAGCTTATTGTAGTAAAAGCTATTGTTATTTCTATAATGTGCATAAGTTAATTTCATTGCATTGAAATTTCCAATATATCAAATATATATGAAATAGTATTTTATTAATATGCTTAAATAAGTGGATGATTTTCAGGATCCTAAATTGAAATGTCTTGTGACAATGGGTTCTCAAGATTCTTTAGAAGAAAAGACAGTAACAATTTGCTATGGATCTGATTTTGTCAATATGAATTTTATTAACTTCTGTACAACACGAGCAGAAGTTGCACAACATTGGACAGAACAAATTTTCCAGCTTGCATATAATTTATCTTTATTAAATATCAGCACAACTATGTTTTTACAAAAAGCACACACTAAACTTACACTTGCAGCTGATAAGTCGGAAAAGATTCCTGTGAAGAAGTAAGCATAATTTATATATATAATATATATTAATATATATATATATATTTCATATATTGTCATTTTAGTATAATACGAATGTTTACGCAAAATAAAGAAGATCGTAAACGCGTTGAGAAAGCACTTGATATTTCTGGTTTTCCATCTGGGAAAGTGAGTGTAATATTTATTGTATTTAATATGATTATTAATATATTTATTTAGTATGATATTATTAATAATATTATTAATATAATAATTAATATAATAATATTATTGACATTGCATTCTTTTTGTTTTTAGAATGATGTAATATCGTTACAAAAATTTCAATTTGAAGATTTTTTCAACTTTTATAAGTCTCTTACTCAACGGTCAGATGTTGAAAAAGTTTTCGAACGCATCGTAGGCAATAATAAGCGTAGGCTAATGTCTGTCACTCAATTTGTTGATTTTTTGAATAAAACTCAAAGAGATCCGCGTTTAAACGAGATATTATATCCTTATGCAAATGAAGCGAGAGCAAAGGACATTATAAATCAATACGAACCAAATAAATGTAATGCTAGTCGGGGTCAACTAAGTTTCGATGGATTTTTGAGGTATTTGATGAGCGAAGATAACCCAATCGTAGCTTTATCGAAACTTGAATTGTCGGACGATATGGACCAGCCACTCGCACATTACTTTATAAATTCTAGTCACAACACATACTTAACAGGTACGTATTTTTTTTATTATTAATTGATTATATAAATATATCTAATAGTAATAATATATTATAATATCTTAGTGTATATATTAATAATATATTAATAATATATAGTATATATATTAATAATATATTAATAATAATAGTATATATATATTAATAATATATTAATAATATATTATAATATAATAGTAATAATATATTATAATATCTAATAGTAATAATATATTATTAACTGATTATGTAAATATATTATTTTTATATTTTATAAATACTTTAGGACATCAACTTACCGGAAAAAGTTCCGTCGAAATATATCGTCAGTGTCTACTTGCTGGTTGTCGATGTGTAGAATTGGATTTTTGGAATGGAAAATTTGATGAACCTGTCATTGTTCATGGGTATTTTTACTTTATAGAAAAATATTTCATTGTATTTAAAATTATATATTGTACGCTTCATTAGAAATATTTTGTAGATATACGTTTGTACCTGAAATATATGCACGGGATGTAATTGAAGCAATTGCTGAAAGTGCTTTCAAAACATCAGAATATCCTGTTATCCTTAGTTTTGAAAATCATTGCAATCCAAGACAGCAAGCTAAAATAGCTCAGTATTGTAGAGAATTATTTGGAGAAATGCTGCTAGATGCACCTCTTGAAACTCACAAGGTATTTTTGATACGTTTATAGTTTTAATATTTTACTCCTAATCTCATCTTTGCAATATGTATTATTTAGTTGGAACCAGGACAGGAATTACCACCTCCCTTCTTATTGAAACGTAAGATTATAATTAAAAACAAAAAGAAACATCATCATAAGAAAAAAGAACATAAGAAAAAGGAACCGATACCAATAGTATCTGAAGAAGAAACTCAAGAAAACGAAGATAATGGAGTTATGAATCAAGTGGCAGAAGGAGAGAATGGCCCACCACCAGATATTGTTTCTCAGGCTGAAACGACCGATAATGATCAGCAGATTGGAAATGGAGATATTTCGCATCCTCCTATGTTACAGCAAAGGCAAAGCAGCAAAGATAGTACTCAGGATGATGAAGGTTAGCATTTAATAAAAAATATAGTTGTACAATTATAACTTCAATTATTATGAAGAATAAAACAAATTAAATTTTTTCTTCTTTTCTTCATTAGATGATGAAGAGGAATCAAGCACAGAAGAAGATGAATCAAATGTGGAGGATAGTAAGTGTGATAAAGTGCCTGCAGCTGACAAAGCATCTAGTGCGAAAGAAACGGAAGCTGGAGCGGAAATTTCAGCTTTAGTTAATTATGTGCAACCTGTTCATTTCAATAGTTTTGAATCGGCTGAAAGTACGTTCATACGTATTACAATTATTAATAATAATTATTAAAATTATTTTTTTATATATAATATGATTCCATTATTTAATCAATGTTTACAGAAAAAAATCGTATGTACGAGATGTCATCATTCGACGAAAAACAAGCTACGACGCTTTTAAAAGAAAGACCATTAGAGTTTGTAAATTATAATAAGCATCAACTATCTAGAGTGTATCCGGCAGGTACGCGTTTTGATTCCAGCAATTTTATGCCTCAAGTGTTTTGGAATGCGGGTTGTCAGTTGGTTGCATTAAATTATCAGACACTTGGTACGTTTGTACTTTAAATTAATTTAATATTAATCATCCTAATTTGCATCCTAATTTAATTTTGTTGTATTAGATCTTGCAATGCAATTAAATTTGGGAATTTTCGAATATAATCAACGTTGTGGATATCTTTTAAAGCCAGAGTTTATGAGACGAAAGGATCAAAGATTGGATCCTTTCGCGGAATCAACTGTAGACGGTATTATAGCGGGAACTGTTCATATACATGTAATATCGGCCCAGTTTTTAACGGATAAAAGAGTGGGTACTTATGTAGAAGTAGATATGTATGGTTTGCCAGCAGACACAGTGAGAAAGAAATTTCGTACGAAAATTGTTCCAAACAATGGAATCAATCCTGTGTATGATGAGGAACCCTTTATATTTAAAAAGGTAAAAATTGATATTTCTATATAGCTAATATTATAAATACAACAAGATTTTATTTATGTGTCCAGGTTGTTTTGCCTGAACTTGCTTCAATTAGAATTGCTGCATACGAGGAATCAGGTCGTTTAATTGGCCACAGAGTGTTACCTGTAGTTGGATTATGTCCAGGCTATCGACATGTTGCTCTTAAAACAGAATGTGGTCAATCATTACCATTAGCAAGTTTATTTTTACACGTAATTGTGAAGGATTACGTACCAGATGGGTTGAGCGAGCTTGCCGAAGCATTGGCAAATCCAATTAAATACCAAAGTGAAACAGAAAAGAGGGAAAAGCAATTATCGGTTCTTACAGATTGCGCCGAAGAACCGGAGGAAATTGATGTAAGATTTGAAATATTAAAAACTTATTTATTACTAATTTTTAATATACTAACGAATGCATGCTAACATTTTCTAGGATAAGCCTAAAGTTGGTGAAGGAGCAAGTTCTTCTAAGCCAACTGTAAGTTCATTGGTTAAAAAATTTTAGTTGGTATGAATCAATTTATTATTTTCGTCTGTTTAAATATTTTGTTTTAGGAGGAAATTGTCAAGACAAAAAGATTACAATCTATTGGTGAATTACCTACACTTGCTCCGACATCTACGAATATTCATGGTAGACCATCTATTGCTGGTATAAATACGTCTGATACACAAGATAATGAGGATGCAACACCAACTCCTACGGTTCAAGTTGATGCTTCTACAAACAAAAGTCCAGTTAATGCCAGCGGTAGTAAGTATCGATTAACTATCACGTTTTATTTGGATGATGTAATTTTTTATGTTACAGTGAGCGATGAAATAGTGGCTGAATCATTAGAAAAACTAATGGAAAACAAACTTGTACGAGAAAAAAAGTTGGAGCTCGAGAAAAAGCTCGAATCATTACGGAAAAAACATGAGAAAGAAAAATTAAGGATGCAAGCGCAAAAAGGGTCCATTGATGGTGAAAAGCATAAATCAAAATTTTATGTCAGCCATAAATTAGTGAAACGGTTGTCGAGTAGAAATATGTTAGTTAATAATTTTTATACAAACAACTTTTATTCATCTACACTAACAATTATATATTTTTATATTTTTTATACAGTTTTTCAAGCGAAGTAGGCTTGAGTACGTTAGCTTTGGCAGAAACGTCGGATTGCCCAAACATAGAAAATCGAGAAGGAAATGGTGGAGCCCCAAAAGGACTACCTAGAAGTCAGAGCGAACGTTTGTTGGCTGTATGTAAAGCTCATGTGCAACAAGAACGAGAACTTCAAGAAAAGTATTATGAAAATCTGTTTGTAACTGTAGAGAAAGTAATGAAAACCTCTCAATCTAACCAATTAAAAACATTGAGAGCACATTTGGATCGAGAAACCGCTGATGTTATGAGGAAGCTTCAAGCTACGAGGCATGGAGAGGTATTTTTCTTATATTATCTTTAGTGTATAATGTATTTTTTAATGTATGTATCAGATATTGTAGGAAAAACATTTGTATTTAATAATAGGTAAAACAACTAGCAAAAGTACATAAAGATAAGGCCGAGTTAGATCGTATGAAGAGGGAAGTTGCAAAGTCCACAGTTGAAAAAGGTGTGAATGAGTGCACGCGATTAACAAAAATTTATGAGAAAAAGAAGGCAGAACTTGAACGACAGCACGAACAAGTTCGGCAAAGGCTAGAAGCAGAAAGGGCAAAGGTACGAGTCTATTATCTTATGTTTAGATTATTATATTATTTATGTAACGTAATGGCTCAAGATGCATCTTTCTTCAGGTCAAAGCAACTCTAATGGCAGAGTATAGCAGTCGATGTAGTAAATTCGAGAGTGGAGAACTACCTTTGTCGCCATCCGGTGGAACTAGTATGCCGGAATCTCTTAGTGGAAATATGTATTGACTGAAACGATCAATAACCTAATATCGATAATATCGACGTTTCGTAACGACATAATTCTATAAATTTATGGCAGTAAACTGCTTTTACTGAAAGTGTGTATCTATTTCGGAAGTTGATAGTGACAGATTTGCTACTTTGTAACAAAGAGGAATCGTAGCAGCGATGTAATGATAAGAATTTCATGAAGTCTACGCAGTTACCTGTTTTTTGCCGAACTAGTTTTATTCATTTTCAAAAAAATCTCTTTTGCAAAACGTACAGCATTTACGAGGTGATGTATGATTTTGACGAGCAGAATGCTATCAAGTTAGAAGGTAATTGTTATATAATATTTTATCCACGAAGCATTTTATAAATTACAAAGGATATCTTTTAAAAAGATTTGATGATCTGACAAGCAACATTTTAATCAATTATTATAGATAAATGCGTTCGAACACGTAAATTTCGCCGCATATGAGCTATTATGAAACGTATGAAATGTCGACTAACACGTTAAGACTATTTTCTATTTCGAAATTCTTTGAAAGATTAATAATATATTTCGATCGATTGTTTAATCGATTGATTTTCTGCGCATGCGGGAACGCCATTTTGATCTCAACACGGAAAGTAGCATTGACCATTGCGTTCGCAAGGATAGAAAGTGAGGTTTATCTTTTCTTTTCTTTTATTTTCTTGTTTTTATCCAATGTTACTTACGTATAGTATTAAACGCACTATTTCTCTTTACACTCAAGACTATCGCCGCCAGTGTCGAGATTTTGTTTCATTTTAAAAGTTAATAAAATTTCGGATGGTGAGAGCGAAGGGAAGCGATTGGAGAGGTACACGATTCTAAATAAGAATAATGTTTCTAAGTGCTACTATTTAATCTTGTTATTATATGTATAAGATGTTATTTAATTAACGAGTCGATGCTAAATCGCGTTCCAGGATACTCGGGTTGTTTGTAATACGAAAATGCACTATTGATCGGTACATTGGTCGAATTTCGTTGAACTCATAACGATGAAGGAAGTATGCTAGCGATGGTGAAATCTCTTTGGCCTAGAGGTAAGGGACGCGATTCGGATAAAGTTTACGATTCGGATGGGCGCGTGCGTGATTTGATATATTTTTGACTGAAAGTACTCCGTATAAAGACATTTTTTGAATAGTCCGTATCGTAAATGATAAAAAGACCGTATTGTATAAACAAAGCAAGTCTAGAAAAACTTACAAAAAAACAAACAAGAGAAAAAGGAAACTAGATTTTAATGGGAACGTTTCTAGCGTTTTTCTACCGCGCGATTTCAAGCTGCGGCCATTTTGAGGCCGGAGCGAAACGATTGGGGCGAGCCTCTTTTAGGAAGACAATCAAAAATGTTACACTGTAACATTGTCCTTGTTGTTTCTAATTGTATGATATTTTAAGTAATTCGATATTACACATGCATATAATATATATATATATATATATACACATATATCTTAATATATGTATATATATTCTTAACAGTTAAATTAATTAAAAATTTAAGATTAAAAGTCACACATTTCTGCATTGTAAATTTTTCTCGTGTGATTCATCTCATTAATTTATTTCGTAAATAATGTCGTCGAGATACGCCGGAAGTATCGAGAATCGCGAGCTTTTAGGAAACGTGTTTTATTGATGATTCGTGCTCATCACCGATATACCATTACATGTTATAATATGCAACATGTGTATATACATATACATATATACATACATATATATATATATATATATATACACATGCGCACACAAATATACGTACATTATATACATACACATGCATGTGCGCAAGCAGAGCGTGGTCAATGCGAAAATAAGAAAAGGAGTACCTTTACTATTATAATACTGTTGTTGTTTACGTTGCGCCGAGGGATTACAAGCAAATTAATCCCTTCGATTTGGAGACTGAACTCGATCCTAAATCGTTGATAAACTATTGTCTGTTTTTGATTTTTTTTCGCCACCATCGCTTTATTTACAAAGTTCCGTGTGCTTTACGAAAATTTCAGTCTGCACAAAATGAATGTTCGGATAATTTGTTGGCATTTAAGCTCGCTTTATTTCGACCGTTCAACGTTCTCCGTGTTGCGCAGTTCTATGCTTCAATGTACATGTTACAGTTTTGAGTAAATTTATATCTTCGGAAGATATTCCGCTTTTCCAAAAACGCAACAATTTATACGAGATTTCGTTTTATTGTATTTGTGATTTGGACAATTTTACAATGAGTCAATGCAACCAACGATGTATGGATTGGGTATATATCGTTTTCTCGAGGGACAGAGTTTTCTTGGTTATTGGTATGTGAGCAACTCGTATGGTTTAGTTAATCAACTGAAGCAAGATATGCGCGTGATAACGAGAAGATATTGACGATAGTAAAAATAGCAAGGCCCTGCGAGAAACGTAATGAGAATGCATCTTAAACCTCTCGCAATGCCATAGTAATTGGCTGTTTAATTTATGCGCAAAACACAATTTTTGTTATTGTAAATGCATTTTTGTTATTATAAGATGAGTATTATTGTATGTTGCGTATCCGGCAGAAAGGGATCAGTTTAACGTTAGGGAGTTAAGCGTGTTCGCTTAAACATTGTTCTAGACATCCATCCGGATGAAACGATCCGACAAGTTACCATTTCCTTAAGTTTACGTCGGTTTATTGCGATTACATTTCTCAACGAGTTATCATCCTCCATAAAAGGAACAAGGAAAGATGGATGTTGTATTTGCGATGGACTCGATTGATGAGAACATTTAACTCGGGAGGAAAACAGTGATAATCTATTAAAAGATGAGATAAATATAAGTGTAAGCGGGTATAATAATTTAATTAAATAGCGGTAGCCATTGGACTACCTATAGCGTTTCAACGCAACAGAAATCAATAGTACATTATGCTAAGTCGT